AAAAAAAAAAAAAGTAAAATAAATTTGGGTGGGGCATGGTGGCTCACGCCTGTAATCCCAGCCCTTTTGGAGGCCAAGGCAGCAGTTTGACAACAGCCTGGGCAACATGGTGAAACCCGTCTCTACTAAAAATGCAAAAAATAGGAAACAATAAAATATGTTTGTGTTTATGAAATCTAAACATCATTTATTTTACTATTGTAAAATACCAATATAGTGCTTTCCTGTGTTTGTTTTCATTACACTGGCAAGGAAAAACATCAAGGAAATACTCCATCAAACTACATATTATGCTAATGTTTATCTTCTTGTAATGAAAACAATTACAGTATGTAGACTTCATATGAATATAATTTCAGTAAATGTTTGCAGATTATTTGCTATGTAATGCTATTTAAATTCTGAGAATATTTCGAAAGACCTGGAAAAAAATTATGGGAACTGAAACTAGCATGGTCATTGTGCATGTTAAATACATAATAAAATTTGTGAAATTCTTTTTCAATAGATGACTTTCACTCTTTTTAAAAAGTAAAGCTCTCTGTTAAAAAGGCACTTTACTTGTTTTCCTTATAATACATGCCAACTTCAAATTTTAAAAATAAACGTAAAAGGGAGTTTCAGCTTCACGTGTTGATTAGATTAACTCTTTTTGCTTAAATAAAGATTATTGAAGCTCCCTGAAGGATAACTAATGAGGAGCACCCAAGCATCTGAAAGAACAAGAAGCCTGTTTTCAGTTCTTGCCTAATTGCCGTTAAGCAAAGATACTCTTCCCTAAAAGGGAAAAGTGGCTCCTTACTTGTTATTCCTCTTTTGTTACTAATGATCACTGTGTTTTGACCTCTTTTTCAGGGTGTTTTTTAAACCATATTTTCTTGATCTTCTGTAGTCTTAAATATCTTTATTTAAGTATTATTAGGTGATCTCCGTAATGTTTAATCATTTTGTCTTAACATAAACCAGTTAGTATAATTATACCTCTTTTCCTGTTTAAGTTTGTATGTGTGTATATGTATCTATAGAGAAGAAAAATGCTGTCAGTTTGAAATGACGGCACAATCTTAGTCACTTGGCTTGAATAAATAGAAAATTCTAAAGCCTTAAAATTAAGATAATGCTCTTTGGCAGTCTTAAAAGAAAATTAATATAAATGAAAATAGTACACTAGACCTCCTAAATATAATACCTGTTGATCTTGTCTATACCATTTAACGTAGAAAAACTAATTTTTTTATAATTATATCTAGTAAAGATGACATTAACACTAATTTTAAAAAAATTCCCACATATATCTGATTTGGAAAATTTATAAAAATTGTGTTGTCTTTAAAATAAAACATATGCTTTTTTTGTTGTTTACCTTTTCTTAGTAATTGAGTATATTCTTCCCTCTCATTTTTTTT